TACCCAAGAATCATTTGAGGCACATAATGCTTTATGAGTTCAAGAAAGGAAACTCAGCAGCCGAAGCGGCTAGAAACATTCACTCAGTTTATGGAGAGGAATGTGTGAATGAAAGAACTTGCAGAAGATGGTTTGCAAAATTCACAGGTGGAGATTTCACCCTTGAAGATGAAGATCGAACCGAACGTCCAGTTGAGTTTGATGAAAAGCTTCTTTGAAGCAGCCCTTAAAGAAAATCCTGCTTTATCAGTTGAGGAATTGGCAGTGGTTCTCAGTTCAAACCATACAACTGTTCATCGTCATCTTCAACAACTTGGAAAAGTTCCTAAACTTGAAAAAATGGGTGCCTCATGAATTGTCTGAAAGCAACCTCAAATCCTGAGTTGACATCTGCTCTTCTCTCCATTCTCGCCAACTTTTTCACCTTTTTGGATAGACTTGTGACTGGCAACGAAAATGGATCTTTTATCGAAATGTTAAGCGTCGTAGACAGTGGCTTGGTAAAGGGAAGGACCCCAGCCACAGCCGAGAATGGAACTTCATGGGCAAAAGGTTCTTCTTTCAATCTGGTGGGATCGCCAAGGAATAATCCACTTTGAATTCTTACCACCTAATGCAACAATTAATGCTCAAATATACTGTCAGCAATTAGAGCGTTTGAAACAAGCTTTGAGGAAAGAAAAACCCGCGCTAGTGAATCGAAAATGTCAGCGTTGTTTTTTAAATCTTTCGCAGCGTTTTTTAGAACTTTGGTTGAAAAAAATACTACTATGGTTAGTGTTTCCGGGGATTTAGGTCCAAAAACTGCCACATCAATCTAACATTTGACCTTAATCAAAGTCACAACCGAAATTGAAATTTTATACCAATCACTATCCCATATTTTCCATCGCGTTTGGTGACATAGCAGTTCAAAATTCCTGACCTGAAAGACTTACTCAAATATGAGGGTTTGAAGAACCGATCCCCCGGCATATAACCATAGTAGTATTTTAACACCAAATATAAAAAAATATATATGCGAAAGATTTAAAAAATATAATATACATATATATTGTCATCAGACGCGCTGATAAATATCTAACACATATGTTATACATACATAACTACATATATATTACCAGCAAAATTAAAAGATATCGTTGATGACCGATTTAAATTCACCAAATTGAAACGAAATCCCACTTTCTGAGAATTTAAAAACTGTCTGTTAACAAGCTAATAACAGCTCACAACGCGGTTCAAGTCGATTCCTATCAAAATTCAAAATGTTCAGTTGGAGATTACCAACCGGGATACCTATATGGAAACATAAAACACATAATCCAGGATATTAGAGCTCCATTATTTTTAGTCTTTTTTGCAAGTGGATGACCAATTATTTCCCAGATACCAACATGTTCCTATCTACGAGCTATTTAAATTCCTCTAACGATATCATCAATCCATACCTACCTACCAATTACAGTCATCACCTCCACCCACGAATTCCTAGAAATTTTAAAACTACAAATGGAATATTTTTGATCAAAGGTATAATAATTTTCACTGGACGTTTTTTATCGAAAACTTATTCACAAATATGTCCCTGTTGATAAAACTATCGATATTATCCTCAACTCTATATACAATTTTAGTTGTAATTCCATCCCTCCGCCATCCATAAAACCACCCGTTGTTATCCTAAAAAAGTTACTACACGCATGCACAACCAAAAGTTTTTCTATGACCATAATGGACAATATTTTGAAACCCAAACTAATGGTGTTAATGTATGGGGAATCCATTGGGTCCATGCTTCTCTAACTATTATATGTCCTACGTAGAAAATACCATATTTACACAGGTCCACAAACCGAAAATCTATGTTCGCTACGTAGATGATATATTCATTTTAGCTGATAACATTAAAGAAATAGAGACACTTAAGACCACATTTGAGAAAAACTCCGTCCTTAATTTTACATATGAACTTAGCCAAAAAAACAAACTACCATTCTTAGATATCCTCGTTGAACACAACAATAACACTTTCATTACATCATTATACAAAAAAAAACCCACCAGCAAAAACCTCGTGCCACCTTAATTTCAAAAGCGAATGTCCACTTAGGTACAAAATAGCTGTAATAAATAAACTTTCTAAATAGAGCCCACCAGAACTCATCCTCTCGACTACTCTTTTTTCTCAAAGAACTTAACAACGTTAAACAAACACTAATTAACAACGGTTTCCCTAACTACCTTATAGACCAACAAATTAGAATATTCCTCCCCAAAGCAAGTAATAATGATAGCGAACACACAACTAAAAATCACATACACATTTATTACAAAAAACCAAATGCATATTAATTACAAGCAAGATGAATCTGCTCTAAGACATATTATAAAGAAATATACTACCCTATTGACCCAGATAAAAAAAAATCAAACTTATTATCTATTATAAAAAATTTAAGACGGCCAACCTTATCCTCAAAAAATAACAACACACCAA